ATTTAGGAGCGCGGAAACTGCGGCTTCTAGCTTTTGTTGCTACACTCGTCCGTGCTCTTGCCCCCCACCCCATTAGCGGGTGGAATCGAAGGTTCGGTATTCCGACGCTTGATCTTATTTTTCTTCAACATGGTTGCCTGGAGCGAACAAAGGAACAAGGAGACATTAGTTTTGTGTGCGATTAAGGGAGGGGGATGCATGCGCTGATCGGACACCGGCGGTTGGATCACGCTCTTATGGTGTCTGCGTAGAGCGCTCATGGCAAGTTAGATCTAGCAAATAGTGCAAGTAAAGATGCAAGATCCTGCGGGAAGTCAACGTGCGACAAAGAGATAGGTAACCACATCGTACTATACGAAATTCAACAGAGTGGATTTTTTTAAAAATATCGACGATTTAGTCGATAATAAAGTTGGCAACAAGTCTAATAACACGAATCATGTAGCAATATGATCTTTCGTAAGGTGTAAATATATTGTTCAAATAATTGAAAATTCATAAAATTCCTTTCTTTCTTCCAATTTTGCAAAAGACTTGACGATTAATTGATATACGTATAAATGTGATATTTAGAATGGCATTTGGAGCAGAAGTTTGGTAATTTTAATCATATCTTTTAATTTATAAAAATTTAAAATGTTAAAAAAAATGTTAAGATAAGTAGAATACTTATGAGATAGATTTGAACTTTGAGAAAATGTTATGGCCTGATATATACGTATATTTGAAGAGAGAACAAATAATTCATAGTTTTATTTCACGATAAAAAGTGATTATTATTTCTCGTGTAGGTGTTTCTAAATGTCAAATCAAAAAAAAAAAAAAAAAAATAAGAAGTTGTATCTCAATTTTCTCTAAATCGAAAGATACATATTTTATTTATATGAATCGGTGAGCAAAATATGTTTGAAAACACATTTTTTATGAAAAGAATCGTGTAAGAAGATCGAAACGCTTTCTTTTTCTTTTTTAAATTTAATTAAATCCACTCTGTTTGTTTATTTCGATAGAATTATGGGGTCATTTTGAATATCTATGAGAAGATTACCGTCAGTGCTGATTTCAAAACTACGATATCCCCCGGACTCTGGATCCATGGCTCTCCGTCTACTTGTACTGGTATGTCGGAGTACAAATGAATTTTTATATGTCCACCCTGTGGAAATGTTCGAGAACAATTTTTTTTTTAATTTTTTTTAATTATTTATTATTTAAATTCTATATATTCAAGATAAAATAGATGAACAAAAACTTACCTGTGCTATCCTCATCGCTGTACGGAGACCGGATTGAATTTGTCCGAGATGCATAACACCTGTGACTCCGACCACTTCCAACATTCCATCCCCGTGATTTGGTGTTTGAAAGTGGTCTTCCTTGATGTCTGGTCCCCAGGGATTTGCCCCAGAACCCCAACTAAATTATTTAAAGAACAAAATTTTAATCAACAAATTCGCAACTATGATACAATATCGAATATTAACTACCTTAAAATGTTTAGAATAATTATCCCTTCGACTTGAGGTAATTCGACGAGTCTCCCATCCACTTCCAGTCGTATTTCCTTGTGCAAATCTTTGCACGGTTTCCGTTTTACCATTTTTCGTAAACCCATGGTTACATACACCCCTTTGTTACGCAATCTGCTTTTAAATTTGTTCGGATTTTCTTCTCTGGCGTTGTGGAAGTCTAAACAAAGATCGGCATCGAGGCCAATACCGAAGTAATTGTTCATCACCAATATTTGCGTATTGTCTTCGCTAGGTGCACCAGCTCCTAGTGATATTTATCGTTGTTAAATCCTTATTATCGGTTAAATTCGATAAAACTCGACTCGTCGCAACATACCTCCCGCATTAGTGGACGATTGCTTGTCCTCCTTCTCTTCCGTGTGACACACCACTGTCCACCTGTCCAGCATGGATTTCTCGGCGTCGATCACGTCTCGAAGCAAGTTCAAGGGATCCTCGTCGCCCGTGTAACCGGAACCCCAGCACAGAACACGGGCAAGATCGTTCCCTGTGCCAAGAGGAACAATGGCGCAAGCAGGCGAGGAACACTCGCTATCCTGGCCCACGTTATCCAAACACTGCAACACCCATCCTATTGTCCCGTCGCCACCGCAAACCAAGATTTTGTAATCCTTTATGTGACGGAAAACGTAGAGACTGTAATGTAACCGTAAATAAATCGTGTAAATCATCGTTATGCATCGTTGACGACGATCGAACAATGACGGTCGTATAGTAACAAAATATATTATAACTTTTTACACACCCAGGAAGCGGGCCTCCATTATCGAGATCGAACACCTGATACGGATTTAAAAGTTTTCGAAAGCTGGAGATCAATTGAAGCCCTTGACAACCGCCAGATTTCACGTTCACGAAGACGAGCAAAGGTTGCACGCCTGGAGGCACCATGCTTGGCTCGATACTTGGTAACAGCATAACTATTACCGGAGAAATATGAAAATGGCATTTTGTAACATTTTTCGAAGTGAAATAATCGGAGAATTGTTGTGAAGGATCGTTGTGTAAACGTACCTAAAAGATGTTTGTCCTCGTATTTTGATTCTCTTAACGTGTACAACGCTGTGACAGCCTTGTTCGAGTCCTCGTAAATGATCACCATCGAGCCATACTCGTAGTATATCGGACCAATAGATGAGAATTTATTTTCTACAAATAATCACCAGTTATATACGCATGCATTACCGATCATTATTATATCGTTTTATTCGTATCGTTCACCTTTGCCTAAGAATTCGGTCAACATGTTTTCGTAACTCCTTTCGGAGAGATTTGGCGGCAAATTTCCCACGAACAAAGCTAAATTGGGTCCATGGGGATCCTGTTTCAGCTGAAGGTAAAAACGCATCAATTCCATTTGCCTGATCGAATCTTTGCCAAGCTGCTTCACGATTTCCCACGGCTTCTCGTCGCGACACAAAACTCTTTCGGTGACTGGGGAAATTCCATATTTACTTTATATATATTACGTTGTAATATATAAGAAGAAGTTTATATTTCATTCCTAGTCGAGATGGAATGAATTAAAAAATGAATTTACCACCATGATCCAGAAGAATCTCGCTGCATCTGTAATCTTCCGATTTAAAATTTTGCAAACCGAACTTTTGAAGCGCTTCTTCGATCAGATCAGCGATCGTTGTTGCCTCTGTGACAGGTACTATACAGAACGACTCTGACACCTGTAATTTGCCCGGATACACGCGTACCTCTCCGCTTTCGCTATCCCTGAAATTGCGAAATCAAAATTTCGTTTGTTCAACTTTCTCAACTTCTGTTCACCGATTATGTCGAAAACGTTATAAAGTTTGTTTGAATCGGAACTTACTTGAACCGTAAGAAGACAGCCGGACGTTTGCCCTCTTTTCGATTCAAGTTTAGAACCGGATTTGGATCGCATAATTCGGTCTCATCCGTGGCGTACACATCGGTGAGGTAAAAGTTGCCTGAATTGATGGATAAATTTCAATATAATTTAAATGTAAACATAAAATTTTCGTAAATAATTGATAAAGATATCGAACACGAAAAATTAAATTTCAAACGATCGTATCGAACCTTAATTATGATCTTTCTGTGTGGATCATAATATTACGAGTACACAGTTCGAGTAGCATAAAGCATCAAATTTATTTACTTTGAATGTATTTTTAACTATTCGTTCAATAATTAGATCAAATATATTCAAACGCGTTTAATTAAAAGAAAGCAAATATATATTTTTATCTGTTCACAGTTTAAAATTAATGGAATTCCATCTTGTTTTAATTGAGTTCGCATAGAAAGAGAGAGAGAGAGAGAGAGAGAGAGAGAGAGAGAGAGAGAGAGAGAGAGAGAGAGAGTAGAGAGTAGAAGAA